ATCGTGGCGTCTTCTAATGGTGCTTTTTCCTGTGTTGCTAATATTGTCTGCACCGACTGCGGCAGTCTACCGGACCAAATGCTGCTTAATAATTTTTCCGGTACCGCTTCTCCTGCCAGACTCTTGAGATGCCTTAGAAATTGGCTGGGAGTGCGATCCCCCAGTTCTTCTCTTTCCAGTAGCTGACGTAGCTTCTTGTCCTCTGACTGGGACAATCTTGCCACAAGCTTCCTCTTCAAGGTGTCGTATTTGTCCGCTATCGGCGGGTTTTTTATAATGTCTGCCACTTCTCTAGCGTAACGACCCTCCAGATTGCCGACCACGTATGCGAACTTTGTCGCGTCCACCGTTATTCCGGCCACGAGGAATTGTCCCTCTAACTGAGCGAACCACATCTCGGGTTCTTCTACCCAGAAAGGAGGCACTTTCACGCTCACTGCCGCGACCGACGCGTTCCCAGAACCCTCGTGTGCCATTGTCTCTGACTTCGATAAGAAAAACGCTTCCCAAACGTAAAATGCAAAAAGAAAAATAGGAATGTTACCTATCACGTCGGGGTCACCAATTGTGGGAGCGTTTAGAGTAAATACACGAGGTTCTATAACTCAACAACTATTTATTCAGGACTGGATATATAATGCGTACTGCGCGTATGGCTAATGGCGAACGAATGAAATGACGAACGGCGTCGTTCTCTCCCGCGCTCGACTGCTTCCTACACGCTACGCTAGGTAGCGTCGCTAGCGTGCTACCAACTCCCCTATAGGGAATTCGCGCTTGCATGCCACACTGCGTAGCGTTTGTGAGAGGATGTTTGGATCATCGAGTCGAGTGTCGCGTTGCGTGTCCGAGTTCGAGGAATGCCTGAGAAATACGCGTGTATCGTTGAATGATTGGTTTAGAGTGAGAACGATTCGGTTTGGAAGAGGAAAGAATGATTCCGGGTAGAAGGCATCAGGGTGTGTGGGGGTGAGTGTTTTAAGCATGAAAGTTTTTAGTTCATCATTGTTAGTCGAAGAGTACGGTCGTTGACCTGCTTGCGAAATAAACGGGAAGTCAAAGGTGGAAAATAAGGATTACTATTTTTCCCTGTCGCGTCCTCATCCCATATATGAATAATATGACATATTTACCTCTTCAAGGTGTCGTATTTGTCCGCTATCGGCGGGTTTTTTATAATGTCTGCCACTTCTCTAGCGTAACGACCCTCCAGATTGCCGACCACGTATGCGAACTTTGTCGCGTCCACCGTTATTCCGGCCACGAGGAATTGTCCCTCTAACTGAGCGAACCACATCTCGGGTTCTTCTACCCAGAAAGGAGGCACTTTCACGCTCACTGCCGCGACCGACGCGTTCCCAGAACCCTCGTGTGCCATTGTCTCTGACTTCGATAAGAAAAACGCTTCCCAAACGTAAAATGCAAAAAGAAAAATAGAAATGTTACCTATCACGTCGGGGTCACCAATTGTGGGAGCGTTTAGAGTAAATACACGAGGTTCTATAACTCAACAACTATTTATTCAGGACTGGATATATAATGCGTACTGCGCGTATGGCTAATGGCGAACGAATGAAATGACGAACGGCGTCGTTCTCTCCCGCGCTCGACTACTTCCTACACGCTACGCTAGGTAGCGTCGCTAGCGTGCTACCAACTCCCCTATAGGGAATTCGCGCTTGCATGCCACACTGCGTAGCGTTTGTGAGAGGATGTTTGGATCATCGAGTCGAGTGTCGCGTTGCGTGTCCGAGTTCGAGGAATGCCTGAGAAATACGCGTGTATCGTTGAATGATTGGTTTAGAGTGAGAACGATTCGGTTTGGAAGAGGAAAGAATGATTCCGGGTAGAAGGCATCAGGGTGTGTGGGGGTGAGTGTTTTAAGCATGAAAGTTTTTAGTTCATCATTGTTAGTCGAAGAGTACGGTCGTTGACCTGCTTGCGAAATAAACGGGAAGTCAAAGGTGGAAAATAAGGATTACTATTTTTCCCTGTCGCGTCCTCATCCCATATATGAATAATATGACATATTTAGAATATTATGCAATATGTATTATACAACTGCGTGTGATAATTCAATGTTTGGCTGAATTTAGAATAAATCATTATAGATACAAAGCAAGCGATTACAATAATTCGCAGAAATATCAAAATGGCGTATCTAGAATATAACTACATACAATGACTGTAGTCAAATGGATAAATAACGACTGTAATGACCGTAGTCAAATAGATGAAGAGAGTTTATATAAATTTACGTCCCAAAATGCCTTATTGAAGAGATATATGCTTTTAAGGATATTTATGATTTATTGTGGCAGTTATAAGAAATGTTAGAAAATTCCTCCCTCTGTATAAGTGCAGGCTTCTATTAGTCGAATTATGACTAATAAGTGATTGCCGAACTCGTTCAGATATTCTAATTGTTTCACAAGAAATAACAAGAAATGTATTTTGCATTTATTCTCAAAGTTATTCTTCATGTAAATAATAACTGTTATTGAGAATGTTGGATGACCAACCTAATGATTCATTCCAGATAAGAATATCGGAACCCATGTACATATTTTAGTCAGCCTTGTTTTCCACATTTTCTATTTGCGTACAAACTTAGGAGAAAACTTGAAGATTCATCAATACGTCATAGTAGGGTAGTTGGTCATCCATGATAAGGGTCACAGATAACCCCTTTTCATCCCAGAAACCTAAGGTATAAGAACCGAAAACCTTTAGAGTTAGCCTAGACTTATTTCGAACCTTCTGCGTGTCGGTTTCCACGAACGTTAGTTGTATCCAGAGTGTATTTTTTGAAACGTCCGAAATATACTTGTTGTTGTGTATCGGTGTAGTACGTTTCTCACCCGGATCCCAACAAGAATTACAATACGTATACTATTTTAAGCAATAAATTATTATACCAATGTTACGCGTGGATATATGAATGCTTACGTTTTTTCAATCAAGCATTTTTCGATATAAGTTTATATAAACTTTCTTCGTGTATTTGATCACAGTAATTTATAATATAAATTTGGTCCACACTTTTTTTGGACACTTTGTATATTGAGATTTAGAAGAATACAAAAAATATACAGCTAGTTGAATTTCAGTAATTGGACGGTCATAACTTGATTTTGAAAAATATTATAAAATTCGTATGCTATTTACTTTGAACAAGCCTGGAGGCGAAGATAACACTCGGAAATTATACTCGCTGGTTCGTTTTCCGAAATACCTCCCTCAGGAATACTTCTCTTCCATCTACTCTGTCCGTGAAGTCTGTACAAAACGAAAGTACAGTAAACAATGAAAACAGGCAGATTTAAATTTGTTATCAATCGTCAAAAATGTTATGCTTTATTTCATTTTAATATTAAGCGATTTAAGTGAACCATAAGTGGAAGTTAGCATTATCCTTAATTTTAGTTTCTTTATTGTTTAATTGATAAGTATTAACGGTTTAGAAAAAATGGAGATGCAAATTATCGTTCGACATGAATTTTTAGGAAATTTTATGTAGTTTTACCATGATTGCTAAAAGCACAAGCGATTGATCTCTGAGGGAAATGATTTATTCAACAATTAGATAGGTTCACTAGGAAGGCAAATTTGACAGATTATATATATAAAATTACAACAATAATAATAATAATATTAATAATAATAATAACAAAAATACATCGTTTGCATTGGAAATTTACAATTATCGGTTAGAAAATTTTATAACTTTTTGTTTAATTAGGCATCCAGGAGATGTTTTATTCTCTACCGTCCGATTGACGTCTGCTGCACTCTCCTCTTCTAAATTATAAATACTCCGTACTCTCTTGACCAACAAAGTCAAAGTATTATTATCAAATTCGGACGTCCAGAAATAGTCTCCCATATTTTGCCCCTTTTCTCCAGGCAGTTGACCAGATATTTTCGCTTTACTCTCCTGCTGCGCTCCTCAACTTGTTAACCATTTCTCTAAGCAAGCATGCAGATATTATCGCCGACTCTCCTGCCGGAATTCCTAAGCCGCATTCGAGAGCGGTCGATGGTTTTACCTTATCCCCTTTCTTGGAACAGTTAATTAGATTAATTCATACTGCGAGCCACTATTTTATATGGTTTCGTTGCTATCCGCAGCTACCTTAATTAAGAGCCTGATTATCAGATTCTCTTCTAACAGCAATTTCGCGAGGCGCATCTTGCCTTCCTTCCTGTAAAGGAGTCTACCTTGATTCGCTAACAATATCAATATGTTTGCGATCATTCGCGAATTTTTTCGATGTTCACTATGATTGGAATTTTTTTTCCGCGTGCTATAAAATAATAAACAAATATTATTTTCGATTGCTTAGCTTATGTGCATTATACAAAGTTTGGGAAATTGATGTATACTAGTCGGCATATGCATCCACTTAAGACTTTAGTATTATAAATATTATTAATATTATTAAATATTATTAATATTTTTCTTAATATATTAAATTACGATTGCAACGTTGCATTGATGCGAGTGGTTATCACTTCGACTAAATTTTGAAATGTAAGTCACTCTGGTTTATTCTATTATCTGCAAATGAATGATCTTGAGTGAAGGGTCATTGTAATGGTTTAAACACCTGTTATTTTACTAAGGTTATAAGAATATAGCGTGTTTGTATAACGAGTGTTTAATAATTGGAGAACATATTCGATTATAAAAAGACGATACGTCTAATGAATAATAGAAACGCTACACTTTACAAATGATTAACACGGTTCGCTATCTAAATCAGTTTAGAACAATTAATTTAATAATTGCCTGTTAATAGGAAACATTATCATTGCCACTTAAAACAACGAGCTTTAGAGACTAAGCCGCTACACAGGGAGCTTTGTTTCTCACTAGCTAGTCGTATAATCTAAAGCAAACCCCGAGAATATAGCGGTTAAGCCAATGTTCCGTAGCAGCACAAATTAATAATGCTTCTAATTAATTACTGATCAGAATTACTGAATACACGAACTAAAACAATGGACTTCAGAGACCATTATATGGAGAGCTGCGCTCGTTACTAGCTACAAATATAACCTAGAACAAGCTTCAAGAATCTGACGGCTCAATTAATACTCTGGCGAAAAAAGCACTGAATATGAAAGTGGTTGGAGAAACACACAGTTTAACGTCTTGGACTAGGTCGCTTTATAAAAAAATTATATGCGATGCTCTCCAAAATAACGGTGTTTAGAGACCAAGTCGCTCGAATAAGTTATACAGCTTAGAGTAAACCCCAAGTATCCGAAGAACAATATACAGCATTATATGCACGATAGAGCATGAAAGTTCTGTTGGCCGTTTGCAGCAAGGTTATTCGGAAGCTCTTCTTCCTAGTCCCAGAGGAGTTCTACCTGAATTAAATCGAAAACTACTTTCCGTTTTGACATTCAACGCACACATATTTATACCTCGATAAGTATGAATGTTAGCAAGTGCGTAGGGGAATCGTACCTTTACTAGATGTGTATAAAGCTATATGTAAAATTAATTTCTTTTTGTAGATAGTAATTCATAAAAGTTGTACATGGATATTATTGTTAATAATATATTTTGATTTTTATTCTACTGATATCCCATAATTTTATTCGTAAAATAGTCATTTGTAAAAGGTGTTCTGTTCTTTAACAGAAGTCTTGGAATCGCGCTTTATCAATTTAAGCTATATGTAAAATAGTACGAAATACGCCGAATTAGTATTAAAATACATAATGTATGACGTTTAGACCGCAAACTACCTTTTAGGCACGTGACATTATTATCAATTTACTTCAACGTTTAATCATAAATAACAGTATTTATTATATATTTGAGCAATTTGTAATTTTAAACGTGTTATTCAAATAAAGTGACTTTAGCTACATGACTACATAGTAGAATTCAGGGTGTAGTGTAATCAGATCAGAATAAACCGAAGCTTCGCCATGCAACGGCTAATAATAGAGGTTTAATTGGAAGTTTGTCTACACTCTTTATATTAGTTTATAATTTAAATAAACAAGATTAGACAAATGTTTCACTTACGAAAACGAATAAATAACGTTAATTTTTATTATACTTTTTATCAGCTATTCTGCAAAACCATGTACCCAGTCAAATCTGCTACTGAAAAAAAACAAAAATTGTGCCTATACAACATTTTCTGTATTACAAGAAAATATCAAGATTATGAGAAGAATACGTTTTCCAGACTCAACTTCAATGTTTTCACGCCTGAATGTGTATGATCTCTGATATCGAAAATATATGTCAAATATTTTTACGAGAACCACCAACTGAGCAAGTCTTATTGACATCGGTTATTAACATTTGGTAGTCCTCCCGTGTTAGTTTACACAATACTGGAAGTGGTTTTTATTTTGGGTGTTATAATAAATTAAAAGTGTCAAAGTTCTTCAAAATGTGTG